ACTTCATTATTTTTTTAGAGCGAAAAGCAAATTTTAATGATTTTTAAAATTTAGCAGTGAATGAATTATGGCATTCATCTAATTCGCAAATTGATAAATTGCAAAATGATAAAGATAAAAATTCAAATAGTAATTATCCAAAATTAAAAATATCAATTTGATAAAAGAATTCCAAAACATATCCACATACCGTTATCTTTGTGATAATCAGCGAAACATTTTGCTCCTTGATGATATGCTTAACAAATTTTAATTTCCTCACGTAATACGATTAAATTTTGAAATTTATAATGATAAATTATTATCAATCACTTAACGTTTTCATCATGCAAACAATGTTTGTAATGAGAAAATTCAGAAAAAAAAAGAAATGTAACAAATAGAAAAAGAAGATTGTGGATGAGATTCGATGATTTATGGAATTACACCGCTATTAATTGTGCAAAATATGGCATATTCCCGAGTATTCTCACGAGATCAATGAATAAATTTTTTGACAAAACCATCTGCTGTCCAATCCAATTTATCATCATTTATTTCCGCATATGATACGCCAACACTCTTATCATCACCATTTTTATCATTTGAAGTAGCAATGCTAGAAAAATTACATATTAATTTTCAATTGAAAAAACATTTTTTTTTCTTTTCAATTAAATGCAACAATTTCAATTTGAAAAAGAGAATTCATATTTTATTTTCAAAAAAAAAAATGCTTTTTTGAATTATATTATTACAAGTAAGGTCACACTCTTACTTATATTCTCACTGCATTTACAATTCAATTAAAAAAAAAATAAAAGAAAGAGTAAATGTGAAGGAAAAAAGATAAGGACAAAAATTAAAAATTTAACAAAAAGAAAAAAAGAAAAATTTAGTAATAATAGAAGCAAAATATATACATACAACAGTGAAATGATGATATGCTTGGTTATGCAAGAATAATTGGTTAGTAAATTCGAATTGGAATCAAATTTGATGTTCGCTTTTTCCGGAATGCTGCCCGT